TGAACATCACCACAGATTAGGTAGCCACCACTAAATCTCGACCAACACACTCAAACACGTAGATATGTGCCAATCATCCGTTGAACAAACAAATGAAATGCACCAAACAAGGTCAACCCTCCCTTTTAGATATTTATACACTCTTTCCAATGTGCTCTCCCAAATTTCCCCCTCGCATTAAACCCTCGAAAAAAGCACGCAGATAGCTGTCAGTACTCGTGTACTAAATAAACCCATTGAACAAATGAAAACACCTGCTCTGTTCATGGAGTGCGCACAAAACGAAGAAATGAAGAAAATGACTCCCGTAACCCGGCAAACCATGCCATGCACATGCACATATTGTCGTATCAAAACACATTCCCCATCCGTCCCTTTCTCGTCTTTAACCATCCCACTTCCAGACTCGAGAGGAGTCTCTATTCGGCTCCACCTTGGCCACCTTGACCGCCGCGGCCACCTCTCGCCCTCTTTCCTCCTCTGTTCGCCCCTCCCTCGCCCTCATCCTCCGCACCGCGCTTCATCCCTCGCCCAGCACCGGGTTGAAACTGCAGCGCACCAGGATTCATACCTCCGCGTCCACTACCTGGGCTGCCACTGCCCTGCGGTCCATTACCCCGTGTACGGTTGCCACGACCACCGCCGCCACCGCCGCGCCCGATTTGGCTCGCTCCAGAGTTGGTCTGCGGCTGTTGGCCTTGCTGTTGGCCTTGCTGTTGATCTTGCTGCATATTCTGCGAATTCTGTTGTCCGCGTCCTCGACCGCCGGGAAGAGGAATGCCAGTCGCTCCACCACGCGGAATGTTGGATTGGATGGCGCCGCGTATGGCTTGAAGGCCTCCACGACCTAAACTAAGTTGTTGAGCAGGTGCTGGAGCTGTGAAACCTGGTTGAGGGAGGCCGCGGCCCATTTGTGCTTGAAGAAAGGGATTTGCGGGTATGTTTGAACCATTGACGCTACTGGCAGACTGAGTGAATGGGTTCATTTGGGCGGGAGCAGTTTCACGTCCTACGCTCATGATTGCTCCATTAGCTTCAGGCGCGGTCGATGCGGGCGTTGCAGTCTGTTGCTGTTGCCCCAATGGTGTGAATTGGGTTGGTGTTTGTGGTGCGGGCTGGGCTGAATCAGGTTGTTGGGCCTGAACTTGCTTTGCAGGCGTGTTTGGCTGGGCAGCAGGTTTTGGTGCCGCCTTTGGAGGGTTCTTAGCAATGGCATACACCTTGGCGACTTCCTCAGTAGGTGTCTCCTGGGCGGCCTTTTCGAAGATAGCCCACTTGGCTTTCCAGGAGTTGATCTGATTCTCCTTCAGTTGACCCTTCAGTTGTGCGGTACGAGCCATGACTTCCTCCTTTCTGGCAAGAGCCTCCTTTAACGTCTTCTCGTGTTCGGCCTTGATTTTGGCTAGCTCGGCTTCGTGATCCTCGGATTTGCTCTGTGCTGCCTCTTCTTTTATAGTTGGAGCATCGCCTGAGGGCACAAGAGCCTTAAGTTGCTCACACTCGGCCTTGAGAGTCTCAGCCTCAGCCTTTGCCTTGGCGGCCTGCTCGTTGAGAACAGCAACACGCTTGTTGACATTCAGACGCACAATGTCCTTGGCTGTCTGATTTTTCTGGATGAAGTCTCGGACCACGTGTCCTTCAGCGGTTTCTGCAGGTAGACCAATGATCTCACCCACGCTGTCTGAATCAGGAGCAGCTGGTGCATTGGTTCGGTTCTCCTCATTCTGAGGGGCAGGTGGCATGGCATTTTGTTGTTCCTCTCGCAGCCGCTCGAGCTCAGTGGTGTGAGCAGTCTTGAGGTTCTCAAGCTCCTTGTCGGTCTCGGCACGTATTTGTCGGATCTTATCATTGGCCTTCTTGACAAGTGCAGATTGCTTGGCTTCCTTGATTTGCACCTCCTCGAGACGACGGTTCACGTCTGCCTCCAGCGCCTTCAGTTCGGCTTCACGCTGGTCGAGGGCGGCCTTGATGGCAGCCATGTTGCCGTTATCTTCTGAAACCTCTGCTTGAACCTCCTTGTTATTCGATTCCTTCGCGGCATCGAGCTGAGTTCGCAAATCTTCGACTTCCTTGCGGGCTGCCGTGAGCTCTGAGCCAAGCTTCTCAATCTCACCAGATGCGTTTGAAGCAGTGGTAGATTCAGCTACAGCGGCAGCAGATGTCTGTTGCGAAGTTTGGCTCTGTGCTTGAGTGAGCTGCTCTCGAAGCTCAACAATCGTGTTGCCCTTTTCAGCCTGGATTGAGGTTAGCAACATGTGCTTTTCGGTAGACTCAGTAATACTTACAATTTCCTTCTCCAGCGTCGCGACTTGCTGTCGTTCCAAGGCAAGTTGAACGCGCAGACTGGCGATCTGATTCTGAACAACATTGTAATTGCTTTCTGCAGCAAGGGCTCGCTTGTTGGCTTTGTCGAGGTTTTCCTTCAAGATCGCCAACTGCTCCGAGGAGATATCAGCACCGCCTTCCTGAACCTGGCCATCCTCAGACATGTTGATATCTGCAGCTGCATTACTCGTGGTGTTGGACTGCACCTGTGCTTCCTGAGCAGTCTTAGCGGTCTGCAGCTCTTGCTGTGCAGTCGCGAGATTGGCGTGCGATAGTTCAAGTTGTTGCTGTAATGAGATCATCTGCTCCTGTGATTGGCTGGCACCAGACTGCGCGACTGATAATTGTTCTTGGCACTGTTCTAGTTCTTGCCTGAGAGCTGTAAGCTCGCTTTGTAGTTCGTCTCGCTGATTAGTGAGGCCCTCGATCTCAGTGGCCTTCTGTTTCATCTTTTCATTGTGGACCTTGTTAAAGCCATTACGAGCCTTCGCTGTCTCCGCAGCCTTGACCTCTTGGATAGTGGCCTCACGAGTCTCAGCGACGATAGTCTCTTGCGATGCTTCCAGCGCAGCAATCCTTTCGGTGAGAGCTTTGACCTGGTCTAACGCCTGATCACGTTCGGTCTTGAGACTCTCAATTTGCTGCTTCAAGTCTTCGAGCTCCTTGGGGTCGATGCGGTCATAGCGTTGTAGTACATCTTGGTGACGCTTCTGCCAACGATCACGGTCCTCTTCAACAGCCTTAAGATGCCCGACATTCAGCTCAAGCTCACTCTCCAGTTCCGAAACGCGAGTTTGCAGAGGTTCAAGTTCATTCTGCAACTCTTCCAACGCTTTGGTCTTCTCGGACACTTGATTTAGAAGACGGGTATTGTCGTTGCGAAGAGTCATGTTGCTCTCACGGTAGACATTGAGCTCTTGAATGCGTTCTTGCAGAGTCTGTATACTTGTGTTGCTCTGCGATCCTTGAGCCTTAGATTGCTCGGCAATAAGCTTCTCGCGCGTCTGATCGAGTTGTGTTTGGGCATGTGCAAATTGGTGTTCCAAACGCTTCGTTTCCTGCTCTTTCAGGTTCAACTGCACCTCCAAGATTTCCTTCTCGCGTCTGAGGTAGGTCTCGATGTCTTGAAGGCTGTTCGAGCTAGTTTCCATGGCTGATGCTTCGCCGCCAGCAACAGTAATGCGGTTATGCTTGAGACTATCAATTTGCGCCTTGTAATCGTCAAACTGGATGAGCAACGTCTGGTTGTATTGTTTAAGATCATCGTGACGTCGCTTCGCGTCGGTTATTTGCTCTTCTAATTGAGTCTGGGTCGTCTTCCAGTGCTCCTGGCTTCGTTCCAAAGTGTTTCGCGCGGCTTCGGCCTGTGCCTTGAACTGAGCAATGTCGGCCTTGAGTTGATCCTGCTCATCGCGAAGAGTTCGCAATTTCTCCATGGTCTGGCCGTGCTTGGCAAGCTCAGCCTCATAGTCCTGCTGAGCGCGCGCAGCAATGTCGGCTTGTGTCTTGACGAACTCAGCCTGTGCAGTAGCCTCCTCCTTGTAGTCGGCCACATCGTTCTTGAGGCGCGAGATCTCCATCTCGAGAAGGTCCTTTTGTTGCGACAACTGCAGAGCCTCCTGCTCATGTTTACCTCGCAGCTCAGTAAGTTCTGTTGTTGATGCCGCAAGTTCAGATGATATATCTTCAACGCGTTGTTGTAGATCATTGATCTTGGCATCCTTCTCTTCTTGCGCCATGTTCAACTCTTCCTGAAGACGCTCGTGAGCTTCCACGAAAGATTGGAGTCGCTCCTCGGCGTCTTGAGCAATATTTTGGAAGCCCACAATCTGGCTGTTGACCAAGTCGAGATCTTCCTGCTTGCGCTCAAGCTTACGCCCAAGGTCTGCAACCTGAGCAGTCAGCTCCTCCTCCCGACTTATTGGCTCGTCCTCTTGATCTCCAGATCCATTAAGTCGTGGTTGAAGAGTGTTTAGACGATCCTCCGCGATCTGAAGCTGGCACTGTAGATCCTTGATTCGTTGTTCCAATTGTTGGCGTATCGAGTCTGCTGATGCAGATTTGACTTCTGCACTATTCCTTGCAGCAATGAGGTCATCAATCCTCCGCTGTGCCTCCGAACGTTCGTAGTCTCGTTGCTGCACTGTCTTCTTGTGGTCGGCAAGTTCGTCCTCTAGCTTACGCTGGGCCATCTGGAGATCTGCCTCCTGCTTCTCAATCTTGGCCTGTAGTTCGCGACGAGTGTTCGTTGCTGTTAGCTCAAACTCGTTTCGCAGGCTCTGAACATCAGAGACCAGTTTGCTGAGGCGGTCCCGCTCGTCCATCAGCTCCTGGTTCCGCTCCTTGAGGCGCGCCTCTGTCGATTGGGCCACTTGCTGGGAAGCCTTCAGGTGGACCAACTCGCTTTCGAGACCCTGAATTCTAGTAGTGGCTTCAGCAACCTCTTGGTCAGCCTTTACGATCCTATCATCCTGTTTGGCCAACGTGGCTTGGACATTATTGTAACGATCCTGTAGAGTTTCCTTCTCTTGTTGCAACATCTTGATGGTGCTTTCAAGACGCATGTAGCGGTCCTGCTCTCGTCGAACCTGCGATTCAAGACGGGCCTTGTCAGACTGAAGCTGATTATTGCTCTTGGTGAGGCTGTCAATCTGCGACTTATTAGTTGTATTGTTGGTCGCACTCTCCGTCTTCAACAGATCAATATGAGCCTTGAGATCCTCGACAAGCTTGTTGTAGTCTGGGTTGTCCTTCGGGAGCGCCTGTTCGGATAGATGGTGGCCTGCAGGTACCGATTGTGCAAAAGCTGGATTGGGCTGCGAATCAGACAGCGAATTTCGCTTAGGTATGCTCCGGAAGTACATGTCGCGTTCTGCCTTGAAAGTCTGGGCACGCACGGTGAGGGTCTTGATCTCCTCTTCCTTTTCTCCTATTTGTGATCGCAGTCTGACGAGCTCCTCGTGATCCTTCTTATGCTGCTCCAACTTGTTACGAGCTTCCTGCGCCTCATGCTCGTCTGCTAGCTGTCGTATCGCGTTCAGCGCGTTAGAGTGTTGCTGCTGCAAGTCTGCGACTCGCTGGTATAGCACAAGATGTTTGGTGATGAGGTTGTGTGTGACTGAATCGCTGGGTAGCGCATGATCCGGCACTTGGTTATCTACCGATTCTAGAATGAACTGCCTCTGATCGGCAGGAAGGGAATCGAGCCCATTCTCCTCTGCTTCTCGCCGCCACATCAGTGAACGCACCTGTATCGTCATGTCTTGAACTTGATGGCGGAGAAGTGAGCACTCCTTTTGTACACCTTCTAGATCGCCTTGGGCCTTGCGCGCGTCTCTACATGCCGACTCGCGTTCTGCACTCACGTCATTGAGAAGGTTCGTCAGCTCATGGCACTGTTCGGTAAGCGCGTCGTTCTCACGACGGAGCTCCTCGAACTCCGGCACTCGAGCATCCATCTCCCGCAGCAATTCAGATGTGACGGTCGAGGCTTCCTCGGCCTTCTCTCGGACTTTGCGAAGCTCCTTCTTGAGATCGTTATTCTCAATCAGCAGCTGAGTCCTGGTCGCATCTGCCTTGAGTAATGTGCCCCCGGGCGAGAATGGAGCAGGCGAGCCAGCGCGGCCAGGTGTGCCAAAGTTCCCGTTCATACCATGTCGAGGCGTCGCCGGCATACGAACAGAATTCCTCATTTCCTTGTTTTCGCTGGTGAGGTTCTCAACAAGGGTCTCTGCGTTGGCCAACTCAGCCTCTGCTGTGTTAGCTCGACTGCGCTCCACCTCGAGCTCGGCCTGCAGCAGTCCAATCTCCGTAGCAGCATCATGTTCCAGTTGGTCCTTGGTGGCTTGTATACTCTGTGCATGTTGTTTTTCCATGGCAGAGTTAGCCTTGTGCAGCTCCGCGAGTCTGTTGGCACTGTCTAGCTCGATCTGATGCCTGGCCACCAACTCTGACGCTTGGCGCTCTAGCTCGTCGATACGCTTGCGATCCTCCTCAGCGTTGCTCTGAAGCTCGGCAATGTGTTGGCGCAGGGTGGCTTCGGTGCGGCGAAGGGCATCAATCGTCTCAGAGGCATCGGCATTCTCACGCAGGAGCTGGGCAATCTGAGCGCTCTTTTCCTTGCGATGCTTGCTGTAGTCGTCGGACCGCTTCTTGAGTTCGGTGGTGTACCAGTCGTTGTTCTTGCGCAAGGCTTCGATTTCCTGTTGCAGGTTGGTCTCGCGGAACTTGACATTGGAGGCGGCGCTTTCCAGGGTCTGGTTCTTCTCCTCGAGCGAAGACAGCTGCTTCTTCAATTCGATAGACTTTTGGTGTTGCTCAGATAACTCTTGGGCAAGGCGGTCGTGGGCGGCCACCTTGGCCTCATGCATAGCAATGGCATCGCGATTCTGAGACTCGAGTGTCTTGATGCGGGACTCGAGTGCCTGTACCTCGGATGTGGAGCTGGTTGCCGTCGTCTGAAGGGTGTGTAGCTCCTTCTCGATTTGTTGACGTGCAGTTTCTACAATCACGTTAGCCTGCAACACACAGCCCATGGCACCAGCACAACGCGTACCCTCCTGTGCAAGCTTCTGCAGCGCCTCTTCCGCCTCTTTTTGCGCTTTGTCAGCGGCAGCCTTCAGCGACCTCGCGCGTTGCTCTCCGCCTTGGACAGCAGCCTCGAGCTCCACTTCGGCGCGGACTTTTTCCGACTGCAAATCATCGTAGGCGCGGGCCTTGGCCTCAATCTGGGTAAGCAGCGACTCGACGAGTTCAACGGTGGGTTCGGATAGTAACGAGTGGAATGTCGTCTCAGGCAGCGAATATGACGCGGCGAGGTAGCCAACATCGACTACGGCCGTCGCCATGCTGTGTGAGAGTGGAAGCTAGAATTATCGAATGTGGTCGCGCACCATCCTCTCCCGGTGGATGACGGGTATGAGGGGACTATGGGCGAAAGAAGAGGAACAAAGGGCGCGTCGGGGGGCCGTGGGCGCAGACAATGAAGAAGTTGGTCCAAAGCCTTTGGGGGGCAGTCGCGAGCTTTGGTTGTTTGACGACAGACTAACTAACGCAGCAGGCGCCTTGCACGCACGGATCTGCGCTAGGCCCAATGCTTGCTGGCTTGCATGCGCTCATCGCAACTTCCATTGTATGTTCCCACCTTTACCTGGCACCTACCTCGCTTAGTCATTGGTCGCTGCCTTCTTTGGCCTTGTTCCTTCCCGTCCTTCATCATCTGCGCCTGCCTATACTCACACAC